ACTGTTGTTAAAAGCCCCAGTCTGGCTCTAAAAAATTTATTATGGTTGAAAATCGCTTGCTATATGAAAAACGGAGAATTTTTTTTTTGAAATGGACGATAATAATTTTATTTGTGTAACGTTTATATTGAATGACACTTGATCTGCGACTATTAATAAAAATGAGTTCTATTAAAAACCATTTTTTGTAGATAGTAATAGGGATTATCACTTATTGTTTTTGTGAAGCAGCAAAATCTTTTTTTGTATTAACACAATTTGATATGTCGGAGCACTTAATTTAGTGATGAACTTAAATTTTTGTTTCTGTTTCTTATCAGAGATCAGTGCAAGAACTTAATTTATAAATTTTAAAAATGGTAATTGGAAATCTATTATTGTAAAACCATGATCAATTTTTGTAAATTATATAAAATAAATTTAAATAAACATTTAAGAATGCTTTTTGTAAATAGTTATTAATAAAAGGATGGTATATTAAAATCACAAGAAAATGATTTTTCTGTTCTTTTAAATTAGTATTATTTTTATTCTGCTAATGATGTTGAAATTGATTAAAAATAAAGTTATTCTCTTTTCTTTTTCTTGCTTGTATTAATATCGCTGACCACCAATCCTATTTGATTTTATATAGGGTATATCGAAAGAAAATAATAATAATTAAAATAATTAATAAAAAAAACTTCAATAATTTATTTCTAAATAGAAAATATGCAAATAAAATTTTTACCAGGCGGAAGAGATTTTTGTAATTTTTCTGCTTTCTCTACATCCTCAATTACAAAAGTGTACAAATATCTTGAACATCTAAGCTTAAATTTTACCTTTGATACACCATTTTTCTTAATACGAACAGCTTTGATATATATGTGTGTGTATATATAGCATGTGTTAATTAATAGGAATAAAAAAATAACCAACAATAAATATATAATTACATTTTGCATCTTTTCTACGTGCAATCTCAAGAAAATATTTAATATCAGCAATTTGTTTTGGCTAGAAAAAACAAATTGGAAATATTATTTTCGTTAATAATTTTATAATATTAAATCATTACTAGTCCATTACTATTATTACTTACCATCTTTGAGACTTATTATTATCAAAAAAAATTTTTTTAAATTGATCGATTACACGAAATTGTAATCTAGAATATTCTTGTGAAATGGTAAATTTGTTATATATTTGATCGACAAACACGTGCACATTAATTATTTATGCATGGTTTTTTTCTTGTTGACGCGATTGATTGAAAACAATCTTATTTTGACAAGATGACAAAACGCAGCTCTCCTAAAGATGTGTTAATAACTAACCAGAGGTGCTTTTTTTTAATTTGCATTGTCTTTTTTGGTTATTATAAATATTATAATTGGAATCAAAACGTGGAACAGATCATTGCTGGGTAATTATAAGATTCTCATCAAGATGATGAATGAACAATTAGTATTTTGCTTTGTATAGTCATATTATTATTAATATAAATATATAATTACAAGGTGTCAAAGCAGCACAACTGAAACAATTCGAGTATGATTATCGGAAATTGACAGACGTTGAAGCACACACGCTACTTGAACACTTACAGTCATTCTTATGCTCCTCGTGCACACAAGGCTAATCTGACCAGCTTCGCCCTATGGATACAATGATGCAACTGAATTCCAGGGGGGCACATAGCCCTGGAGTTTACTGAGACTGCAAGGACACTTTTCACTAATCTTCCCTCACGGCGGCATGCTAGCCGAAAAGTTACCTGCAACGATCCTACCTCTAGGGTAAGGCTGGCTCTGTGATTGAGAAACTTTGAAAAGTTGTGATATTGGGTGCGCATAAACATCCAGATCCATCAAAGAAATGAGAAACTGCAACTCGTTTCAAGCACAGGAGGTTGCAATTCAGAGTGGGATTGGTGGCCCTGAAATTGCATTTGGGCTTGGATGTTAGGAAAGCTGTAAAATACAATGATTCGGATTTTGTTTGGTATGTTATAAATTAATCATTTCCATATTTTTATTTTTATTTACCAACTGAATTTGATATTTTTTAAATGGGACTTTTGCCTATATAACCCACCTAGGTTAGAGGAATGTAGCTCAATGAGAGCATGTATCTTACAAGTATAAAGGTGGCAGTTCAATTCTGCCCACTCCTGTTGTGGTAGTCACCATGATCACTGGCATCAAGGAGAAAACTGTAAAATAAAGTAATTCAGATTTTGTTTAGTATGTTATAAATTAATCATTTTCATAAATTTTCTGTTTCTCTTTAATTTTTATTTGACCAACTGAACTTGTTATTTAAATAAACAGGGCAGGGTTGTTGGTGAGTAGGCATGCACCAACAAGGCAGCAACCCAGGACTCAAAACTCTGAATTCAGGGAAAATCCAAAACAACAACTTTCCAGGTTACAACCTCCTGGGTTGGAGAATTTTGAACCAGTTGCAGGCACAAACTTTTTTCTACAGGTCAGGATAACGCAAAGCAATCATCATGCAAGCACCAGCTATCAGTGATCAATGCCCATATGGTAACCAGCAAGCCTGGTCTGAGAGGAAGATAAAGTTCTCATACAAATGATTATGTTTACTTTACAACATAGGAAGCAAAAATAAATAAATCAAATTCATACACAACAAGTATTTATTATAGTTCGAAAAGCAAGTTTTATATGTCAATATAAATGGGGAATGAAAAGAAATAAAGTTTATGTTTGATAAGAGTTAAATAATAATAATACACACCCCTAATATTAATTTTCTTTCAATTTTATTTATTTTAAAAATTATTTATTTAATAATTAATTTTAATAACAAATGATTTCAATCATCAATTTTTTCTTGAAATTTATTTTTCTTTTTTGAGAAATCTAATTCTTCCCATTCCCAAAGTGTAACTCTCATACCAATACCAGGAGGACAATTATTGGATAAATACCATAGCCATCTTTTAACAACATCTTTATTTGCATCCTTTATTTCTAACAATCTTTTATGGGTTTTGCGTTCAAAGTTTTCTTGAGATTTTTTATGGATAAAAGAACCACGCGGTACAGTCCAACGAGTTGTTTGAGTGGGTAGATAGACAGGACCCGAGCATGGCATTTTTAATGCGTGAGCTGCACGTCTTGCAAAATCTATAAAAAAATCCATTGGACCTACTACATAGGCGCGTAAGTGCAATTGACAAACAGCTATATTGTCTGTAGGTGGAATTTTTTCAGGTTCTAATATTGATTTTTTTTTTTGATAAAGTGTAAGAGAAAAAAATCCAATAATAATAATAATAATAATTTATTATCCATTAACATATTTACCATAAAGCATTGGATCTGGTTGTTTTTCATTATTTTCATTGTTATTGTTATTTTCACTATGATTATTTTGCAAATTTATTGATGTTGTCCAAAGATTATTTCTAATGAATTGTAAATTGATATATTATTTATTAATATCTTCCATAAACTATAATCCTTGTATATAAACGAATGAATGAATGAAGATATGTAAAACAATAAATACACATTTCTATATGGAAATGACAATTTAGTAATTATTGGAAGTATTTGATATTTCAATAGATTTGTCATTTCCTATTTTATTTTTATAAAAAAAAAATTTTTTGATCTACAAATAATTTTTTTTAAACAAATTTGTCAAAACCAAACATACATCGGAAAAAGAGTAAATGAGTAAGTATTGTCAGAAGAGGGAAATTTAAAAATAATGTGGTTGCGATTATTGTCGTCCTTCTAGTTAAATAAATATAACAAAAAACGTCCGATGCTTTAAAACCTTAAATCTTTTAGAAAGTAATTTTTCATAAATCTACCTCTTCAGATTGTAGTGGCGACAGTGATGGTAGTAATATTGAAAGAATAACAACAGTAGAATGACTCTATATGAAGAATATGGGTTTGATTCATTTCGTCGATAATCATTTCGTCGACAGTCATTTCGTCGACACCCATTTCGTCGAAAGTTCATTTCGTCGAAAATTATTTCGTCACAAAAAAAAACTTGATTAAACAAACTTCTCCTCACACTTCCCACACACACCGCTTTCCTCACCTAATTTCTTAACTAACTTCCCACACTCCTCACATCTAACTCGTTCGGTCTCCGGCTCGAGAATGAAATAATTTTCGACGAAATGATTGTCGACGAAGTAAACGCGATCGCAAAAAAAAAAAGGGTATCAATGCCTAAAGCAGTGTTTCTATTTGTAATTATTTGAATTAAATTATTTTTATGATTAATTCATGTGGTATATGAGGAGGCGTCATCTGTCAATTTGAGACGAGGAAATCATTTTGACCTATAATAATTTGAATAATTCTAATAATTCAAATAAAAATTAATTTGAATAATCATCCAATTTAATTCGAATAATCAAATTAATCCAAATAGAACCCTAGCCTAAAGTACTATTAATTTATTAATTATTTTGAATCGTAATTAAATTATGTTATTTATGTAGTTTTGTGATTCGTTTTTTTCATATAGCATCAGTCGGTTTTGCGGTTCAATTCGGTTTTGGTCGAAAACCGCGACTTTAAAACTGAAACCGAACCGAACCGACCGTTGACATCCTTAATTGCAGCATGGATGACATGACAATAAACATATCCACCTAGCATAAAAAAAAGAAAGATGTATGGAGTAAAATAAACATGTAGTTGCATAAGTACATGTTCTTAACAATTTAGAACACATTGAATGTTCACCAATGATTTTGTAACAAACATGTTGATTGATCTGATAATGGTTCACAGCTATGATCTCACGCACCTGAATCAAGAATAACGGATAAATGTAGATCTCAAGTTGAGGTGCATTTGTTGGCAACTTAAAATTGTTGAACTTTTCATTAAAAACCAATGCAAAAGCATGTTTTCTTGCCATAAAAAAAAAAAAAAATGCTTGGAAGGTGTTTTATTGTCAATTTTCACAACAATTGGTTTATCTGATGATGATGATTCTTGATGAATGTACCAGTACACAAAAACATAGATAATACAGTCAACCCTTGTTTCAGCGAGCATAGTGGAAATTTGAAATGTTATGTGAATTTTTTATATTGTGCAAATGTAGCTTTACAATACACAGCAAACATTCTGGCAATAAAAAATAAGTGATAAACTGGATTTGAATTGGATCTGAACTTGATCTCCAATTTAGAGAGGCAACAACTATATACTGGTGAAGTTTCAGGAGCAATGAGTTCTGTATAACTTTTCGCGTAACAACAAACTTCCACTATGTTTCCCTCCTCCTTCTCTTCTCTTCCCTCTCTTCTTTTCTCTGTTTATATATAACCTTTGCCGTACGACTCTAATATGCCAGAATAAGAAAAAACAGCAGATCTAATTAAAATATGGAAACGATTTTCAAAAATCTGCAAAAAAAATCACGAGTTCTGGCAAGCAATAGTGGACACGACGAGCATTCAATTTTTATTATTACTAGAATTTTGAGCACATCCTTACGTTTGTGCCTATTATTAGCTTTTTTGTGTTAGTTACTTTATTTTATTTATATTGAATTTGTTATAGTGATTTTTTTTATAATATATATATTTATTTATATTATATTTATTTAACAACAAAAAATTACAAATTTTTTTCTTATATTTTATTATAATATATATAATGTCTATAGTACTAAAGCTTCTTTATATACAATATTATTTGTAAAAGTCCCATCTTTGCCTTGCACTGTCCCATTTTTCACATATACCTTGAGATTACTTTCTTTACGTACCCTTGACATGGCTACGTACAATTGTCCGTGAGTAAAGACAGGTTGTGGTAGGTATAGACCAATATGAGACAGTGATTGGCCTTGGGACTTGTTTATTGTCAAGGCAAATGCTGGTCGTACAGGAAATTGTTTTCTTTTTAATACAAAGGGTAACCCAGCATTCTCAGTTGACATTAGGGTAATTCTTGGGATGAATACATGTCTGCCTTTATGATCCCCAGTGATTATTTCAGCTTCAATTGTTCTTGTTTGGAGTTGCTTACAGATAAGCCTAGTTTAATATCAATAATATCAATAATATTATTAATAATAAATTAAATTGTTATTTAGAAATCCGCTATGTTTTTTTTTTTTTTTTTGCAAAAGATTGTTATTTAGAAATCCGCTGTTTTATTTAATATCAATAATATTAATAATAAATTTAATTGTTTATATATTTTATACGACTCTATAACCGCTGCGCATTAAATCATAGTGCATAGAACCGACCAATCAAATCGCTAAAAAGTGACAGACATTAGAATTTTAGTATTATAGATGTTCAGCAAAGAAAATTTCAAAGGAACTTTTATGTTTTACACATATTATTTCTTTATTTGTAATATGTAACCCGAACGAAATTTTTTTAATAAAAGTAGGGTGTTTTGAATATCATTTTTATCAAATAAGAAAGGTTGTGGCGAGACTGCAGGAAAATACCTTTTTTGTAATTTTTGAATCACAATTGCAAATTGCGGCCAGATTTGGCCGCAATTTCGTTTAAGGGCCTTTAATGATTCAAATGATTTGTTTTATTCGTTATGAACTTGAGTATTCGAATTACATTGAAAATTTTATTCGAATAAACGAATAAATGAATAATTCGAATATAACAAATAATTCGAATAGAACGAATAATAATAATTCGAATTAAAATAAGAATTTGTACTACGAATAGAAATTCTATGACTTTTATCCTGCTATGATGTATTGTATTTTGCTTTTTGAGTAAATGTATATTTTTTTTTGTCATTCAAAGTAATGTAGGTGGACCATTTCAACTAAATGTCTATGCCATTGAAATTCTGCACTAAAATTCCAGACGTAAAAAATGAATATCAAGAGAAATTTTTTTTAGCCGGCTAAACCGTTTAAAAATTCCTTAACCGGCTAAGCCAATAAATTTCTTAGCCGGCTAACATCACTAATAATTATAAAAAGTTTTTGCGTAAAAGTTTCATTCGATAATAATTATACACTAAAATTAGTTGATTTATTATTAATATTAGAAAATTCCGGGTAATGAGTGAATTTGTATTCAGCAAAAGAAAAGTTTAGCTCTTTGAGAAACAATGAAAATATAAAAAAGAATATACATTTATGTTTTTTTTTAAAAAAATTCACTGCCATTAAGTAAAAACCTTTTTTTTTTATGGTTATGTTCACATATTATGAAATTGAGTTTTTAATATGTTCTTTAAACTGACTGTCAAGAAATCCTATTATCTCTTAAACGAACAGAAATTTGGACCAAAATTTTAAAATTTTGTAGACCCCCAGGTGAAAAATTTACTATTTAACCCTCATTTTTTTTTTGATTTTTAAATAGAAGATGACTTATTCTATATGTAAACCATCGCATTTATTTTTTCATGAGAGATATGAGTTTTTTATTAATATGAAAAAAACGCATTTTAAAAAAAAACCCCCAAATTTTAATTTTAAGTTACAATTAGAAAAATTTTTTAACCAGTCCAAACCCGTAAACTATGTAACAATACTCAAATTTAGAAACTATCTCCAGAAAACTACTGTTACACCTGCACATTGATTTTTATTATACACTGATTAGGAAAAAGTTAAATTGAGAATACAGGTTTTTAGTTTTTATTTGCGTAGTCATTAATAATGAATTAACAAATAAGTCAACAATGACATTTTACAAAACAATCAATTCCCTTTTTAAAGATAACATAAGGCAACATTACACAAAGTACAGAAATACAAATTTACTCGCATCATTTTTAAACAATCGTACGATGGAATTCGAAAATTCTTTGGTTATTTCCAGAAATTTTGTAAAACATAATAAAATTTTGAGAAAACTTACAATATAATGAATGACCTTTTTTTATTTTGAGAAGAAGGATTTTTAAATAGTTGTATTACAAAACTTTTATTTGCTGTAAAATATCTTAATTCAAATTTTGGTTTGTATCAAGTTTTTTCAATTTTTAAAGTGGCTTTGATGAGAAATTACCTTTTAAATCGATTTCATAATCCGAACTATGCGGAATTAATAAATTTATTTATTTATTTCCCTCGCCATTATATTCGCAAAACCGGTTTTAATCAACTTTTACTTTTCAAACTCCGGAAGCGTAAAGATTTTAGATCCTAATTTAGTAATAATTGTCTTGATTTAGTCAATTTAGCTGATTTTCATTTGAATTGCGCAGTTACGCCCAATTCCAAATACATGATGTAATTTTTCCAATCGAATCATCTATAATTCAAAAAAACCATTATAAAAGAAACATATTTTCAAAACTTTTTATTTATCATCCATCTTTACAAAATAAAAAATCATAATTATCGAAATAAAAATCAAAAAATACTTTTCGAACCTCCATTCTTTTCAAATATCATATTATAAAAAATGTTTAAAAATTTAAAAAACCAAATCTTACTTACATTTATCATCTTCATGATGATTTCCACATCGCAAGTAAACGCAGGCTTACTTGCGTACGGGCTTTGTCAGACTGCGTGTAACGCGGCGTGGGTAAGCTGTTATGCAGCAGCTGGTATTGTGGCCGGTAAATATACACAACTTCTAATTAACATCCAATATTTATTTATTCTGTTTATTGATTATATTTGCATTGTTATTATTATTATATAGGTGCAACGGGAGGGGCGGCTTTACCACCTGCAGCGATCGCTTGTAATGTAGCCCAAGGTGCATGTATGACCGTTTGCGCTGCCTGCTTTTTGGCACCAACTCCATAAAATTTTTAAATATTTTCTATTTTTTCTTTTTATATTTTTTTATTTTTTTATTTTTTTATTTTTTTATTTTTTTATTTTTTTTATAGTTGTTGTTTTTTATTTTATTTTTTTTATAATTATTTTTTATTTTTATTTTCCTTTTCCATATAAATTTTGTACACGAGCGAATCAAATTAGTTCAATTTTGATAAAACAAAATTTCCTCAGTTCCGGGAATAGGCATTGTTGTAATAACAATAAAAGAAATATTAATATTAGTAATAGTTATTATAATTGAAAAAAAATAAATAAATATTGATATCTTTAATTTTGATAATTTATTTAACGCTACTATCTTTGAATCCATGAAATTTCTTCTTGGTTATATATTAGCTTATATTTTATTAATGTAACTGCCACGAAAATGAGGTTTATTTGCCGGTCACATGTCACCGTACTGTAGTGAACGTCATATCTATTCTCGACCCAGCCCATTGTCTCAATTTATTTTCAAACCATCAAGTGTTCTTAATCGCTCGCCATCATCTTCAGGAACGTACTTTTCGATTTCCTCCTCACAATCATCTATACATTTGCCTTCCTCAATCCATTTATGCAGAGCAGCAAGAATATTTATAACTACATTGGGTTACAAGAGATAAAAAACATTTCCATTTTTATAGATGATAACCATATATTTAATATTAAGTATTTTTCTATATACAAACACTTTTTGTTTTTGTAAGACAGTGAAAAAAAATCATAGAAACCAAAGCAAAATCGTAAAGCGTATCCACCGCCGAAAAATGTGATGGAGATTTTTTCATAGTTCCAATAATTAATTTGTATGGAGCTAAAAAAATTTTCCCGTATATTTTCTTTCAACTATTACGATACAATTATTATAACAAATAATTGTTACTAATATTTCTTTGATTATTATTACATTTCATAAATGAAAAAGACCAAACCGCGCTCGAATTGTAAGTTTGAAACAAATGTCAACATTGATATGTAGGAGTTGGTTGTGTTAAATTGATGATTTTGATTAACTACGTGTAATAGTAAAATTAATAATAGAATAAAACGCGTATTAAAAACGTAATGATTGTATACGAGAAAATTGCTTGTTACGCGCCCTTGGCTTGAGAACAAAATTTCGACTTATAAACCCATATTAAAAAACCATTCGTTGGTAAAGACTTATTTATCCTGATCCATTCAATTTATCAATTATTTCGCTTTCCCACATAATAATGGTTAATAATAACAACAATAACAGTAATAATTGTCATAAACACGAATTCAATAAATATTAAATACATTTCAAAATTTACTTTATTATTATTACTCATAGTATTCATTATGCTTGTTACAAATTCATGTTTCTCGGGATTATGAAATATTATAAAAACCTACCAAAACGACTGCCACCAGCCACCAACAGGACAGTTCTTTTCGATAAACTGGAAGAACGTCAAAGAAACCAGTAATAAGAAAAGAAAACGGATGATCGAACAAAATTTGGAACCAGAAGAAAGGGAATATTTAAAAATTCATAAATTAATGTTAGGATCATCCGGTGATCAAAGAAATGGGTATTAAAAGGAATTCAAAAGGGTATCGGTCCACAGTTCTACTTTTACTGAGAGAAAAGAGAAACTGATAAGAGAAAAGCAAGGAAGGATCAACTCTAGGCCAAGAGGATCGAAAGAAATACAAAAAAAAAATTTAAAAAGAAACGATGAAAAATGTGAACGAATAACAATATAACAATATAACAAATAAATACAATGTAAAAACTTAGCTAATTTCCAAGAAAAGCCCATCCAACTAAAGAAATAAGTACATAAAAATGTTAATAAAATGAAAATACAAGAAAATGACAACAAAATAATAATAAAATAATCCCGAGAACATTTCAAAATTAAAGGAAAGAAGGAAAATTTTGATAACAACAAATTTCATGAGAAAAAAAAAATAACATTTCAATAAATATCATATGTATATATATATATATTAATAAAATGGTACTTTCTAGAAAGATCTCCTTTTTTTTTTTTAATATATCTCTATATGGATACAGTCAGAACTAACTTGTTAAGACGATGTTTGATAAAACGAATATACATGATTACTTCGGTTTTAAAGAGTTCTGACTGTATTAGAAGAAATTTAGAGAGAGATTAGTACCATTATTCCTTCTTTGATGGTAAAATTAACTGTTAAGGGCGTGTAAATTTTTAATTATTATTATATGGACAGTGAGTGAGTGAACTGTGTCCCAAAGGATTAATTGTCCTCGTGACTCAAATAGTAGGTGTCAATCAAAATGAGGGAAAAATAAAGAACTATGATTTCATTAATACATCAATATTTTGTGTTAAAAAATAGACAAATTGGTTTCACAGCTTTATTTATGAACACCTAAATAAATAAAAATCGAAAAATATTTTAACGAAAATTAAACACTGATGTAAAAAAAAAGTCTTGTGTAGAACCAAGCATCAAAAGAAGTTAATGCACATGCATCCATTGTATCTTCTCATTGTCCATTTTTAGCAATGCATTAAATGATCAACAAAAGAAAGTGGATATCATATTGTCAAAATGTTTCAAACCCAAGTTATAAACTCGATAAGTCGAACGCACCAATCAATTGTTTAAAGCATTTGATATAAATAAATAAATGACCGAGTTTATTGATATTATATATACTAATACTAATATCAATATATATTTATGGATCACGGGAAATCAATAAATAAATCGGGAAATGATTTAAAAAAGAACCTGGAATTATTCTTAAAAGAAAGGTCTTGTTTATTTTTAAGGAATACATTTAATTAGAGCAAATTGAGAGTTCTTGGAAATCAGAGAACTAGATGATTGAACCTTTAACATGTATAAATAACGTTGTAACTTTCTTAACTTCATATATCATTAACCTCATAATAATAATAATAATAATAATCATAAAAAAACCTTTAACAATAAATAATAAACTGTCCTTGTCCTTGATCTTACTGCGTCTTCGAATTTTATATTTTCATAATGATAGTAAATCTACCTCTAACAATGAATTCACCTTACTAGACGGGGATCCTTTGCTAAATATATTTTTATTTCTTTTCCTTTTATTTTAGAAAAACAGACATTAGAAAGATGCCTAAGATCAGCAGAACCCAGGCCGAAAATATTAAAGTAAAGCTCGAGGCTAAGTATATTAAGATTTTGGACGTTTTTGACTCAAACAGATAATATAGAATATCTGCTGGGAAAAACATCATCAGGGGTAATAGAAATTATTTCTAGAAATTGCATTTTATTAGAGTATTGAAATTTTGACTCGACATGATCTCACAATATAATAATAATAATTTATCTATACACATGTAAAATTGAATTTAAAATTATTCTGGAGCTGAAGTATTAGAACTATTAATTGCAACAGATCAACTTGATATTGAGTCACTTTATGAATATATAATGAAATACCTTATTGAAAAATCCAGTCAAAATTCTACAATTGAAATTTTAAGGAATCAAAGAATATCTATTTAGAAAAGGTTTGCTTATGATCTTTTCTGTTGAAAAGCCCGATGTAACCTTAATAATAAATTTATGGTGTTTTTGGTAACCTACTTTTATAAGAACTTCTATAATTGGATGCTTTTCTTTTGAACATCAGTAAAATTGGAAAAACGTCAATCTATTATGTCATTGAAACTTAAAAGTTATCCTATAATGCAAAAATTAAAATTTATTATTATTTTACACGATCAACCTTCTTTTTGTTGAAGTGTAAGGGCTCTCTACTAAATTCAAAATAAAATTTTATAGTATTATGATTTTTTTCTTAAAAAAATAATCCCTCCAACTTACCTTGGTAAAATTTACTTTCAAATTAACGTGTTTATCATTTTGGAAATTGCCACTTTTATACCACGTTTTTAATACAATACGTTGATCAGGAGGTTGTGAAAGCCTCAGGAACTTTTGAATCAACATCGCCATCTATCATAGCACTACTATATAACCACCTATAAATGCTCGATAGAATATTTCTTTGTTGACAATAATATTTGATTTTGCAAATAAATCTCCAGCGTTCCTTGACCACCATAAGGTGCATCATCACCTTTGTCTAATTAATCTGATTTTTGTTCCATCCTCAACACCTATAATTTATCGAGACAAATACAAATTACTAATTAATTAGTTTGATTGATTAATTGAAAAATTTGAATATATTACCAGCAGAAATATCAATAGTAATAGGTTTTTTTTCTTTTACTTGACCTATAACAGAACATGTCGAACATCTATTTCCGGATGATATTTTTGTATTACAAGAAGGACAGGTGGTTTGTATATGAAATCCTGATGCTATAACAATATATTGGACACCAGACCCTTTACATGATTTACAGGTTTTCCACCTTTTGTATCGAGTCCCATTCATTATACACTTTGCAATTAGCTATTGTTTCTATAGCAACAGTTTATTTGGCTCCTTTCACCGATTCCATAAAAGTTATATTTTTGATAACGATATTATTAATTTAATTTAATTATATATATATATATATATATATTGTGATTGATATAAAAATAATGATGCTAAGAAGAAAAGACACTTCAATATCAGTCCAGTTGTATAAGGTTCTCCGGAACCCGTTTTAACTCTTGAACTGTCAAATCCACCGTCAAATATATTGCTAAACAACTCTTTACTAAATCCAAAAAATCCACTGGAAATCCACCTATGCCTGTTGGACATCCTTCTTCGTTTCGTTATTATTATTATAATTTTTTAGGTAAAAAATTTTAATATATTAATAAACTTGTATATAATAGCTCACGTGCTGCGCCCGTTGATCAGACTGTACACGTTTTTCTTCGTTAAATAGTTGATCTTTGATTTGTCACCCTTACTATTCTAGTTATTTACATCATAAGCTTCTTGAATTTGTACAAATATTTCTTTTTCTGCTGGATCTTTATTAATATCAGGGTGATAATTTTTTACAAGTTAAGATTCACAAATATGAAACAAAGTAGCTAATATGTGTGTATATATAATAAATATATTTAAACACATATATAATATATATATATATATAACATACTGCATAATATGCTTTCTTTATACCTGATTGTGATGCATTTTTTACACTTCAAGAATTTCATAAAAATCTTTATTTTTATTCACAGCGACTAAATATGTCATAATTAATTTATTAAATTGCATGGAATATCAGAGATGTTTTTTTGCCGGAGAAATGAAAAAGATTTCAATCTGTATAATGAAAATATTAATCATAAATTATTTAATTACAGTATGGCTATTTTCTTACCTTATCATTATTATTATTATTATTATTATTATTATTATGAATTTTGAATCTATATAAATAAATTCTTTAAAATCTAATTTTTTAATATCACTAATAATTGTTTATTGTGTTTAATTGTTGCTCGAATTTCAAAAAAATACGTAAAATCGTTTCTCTTTTTTCATGATTCACGAATTCAGTTGAACATTTGCTCTTAAATCAACCAAAAGAAGAAATGTTTTTTGAAGTAAATAATTTTTATTGAAAAATACGTGGATTAAATATTTTTAATCGTTATTTATGAATTAAAATACACCCAATACTAATAGTACATTACAAAATTACCAAAAATGTGAACCTCGAATTTATTTTATTTTATCAATGATGATCTTATTTGCTTCGTGTCACAATTAATTATAGTATTTTTTTATTTATTTATTGCAATAAAGATGATTTTGCTAGATTCTCATAATATTGTAATAGAAGAAACTTTGACTCAACCAATTGTAGGGTAATTATAATTAATGAATTTTGCAAATAAGCTATTTAATAAATATTATATGGTAGACATCTTATTAATGATCCAGGTAAATTATTGCAAATTAGCCTTGAGCCTACAATCCTTGATATGACAGTGGTCGATTTTGATGGTGTCTACTATTACATATCTACTCCAAAATCAAAAGATGTAATAACATTTTCACTTTATATGCAATGTTACAAAGAACTTGTTAAATTTGGTGCTTATGACATGTTAAAAAAAGAATATGGTCAATACATTAGTTCTGAAATAGAGAATAATTATGATTTTACTTTGGAATTTGATTTACAAAAGTTACCAGCTGATAAAGGTAAAAATTATTTTTTGTATATAATTTTATTTTAATTTTTTATAAAAAATTCTAATCAACAATTTTTCTCTCTCGGGACTTTTTAAAAATTAAGAGGAAAGGGTAGCATTAGTTAAAAAACTTTCATTGATTAAACGTAATCTTTTGGCACAACCATTTGAACGTGCATTTGAACAACAAACTCAATTCGAAGACCAAAAACAACAAAATCCAGATCCTGTTCTAATGCAAATTCATTATAGAGATCAAGAAGCTATTTATATCCAAGCTCGACATGACAGGGTAACTGTTATTTTTTCCACTTTGTTTAATGAAGAAACTGACAGTATCTGCGGAAAATTATTCTTGCAAGAATTCGTTGATGCTCGTCGTCGTATTGAACTTCAAAATGCTCCTCAAGTACTTTATTCCAATAAAGATCCTCCGTTAGAAATCAGACATTTACCTGAACTACAAAGATTGAATAATAAAGAAAATGTTGGTTATGTAACGTTTGGTAAGTAATTATATTATTCACATACACGAATGATAATATATAATAAACCAATTTTCTATTGTTAATTATAATATTTCTTCTATATATATATATATATATATATATATATACATATATGTAAAAGTACTTTTCCCTAGACATTTTATCATAGGAGATGTAAGAGAAAAAACCATTTCTCAGATTCAATTATTCAGAGATTATCTTCATTATCACATCAAATGTGCAAAAGCCTACATGCATTCAAGAATGCGAGGACGTGTCCAAGAATTCTTGAAAGTATTGAATCGTGCAAAACCTGAACTAACAACTGCCGAGAAAAAACAAAAAAAGAATTTATAATTTAAATGAAGAATAGTGCTTGTTTTTGTAGAAGAGTAAAAATATTTTCACAAATATATTATATATGTAATATATAATGCATAATTTCTTTAATAAATAAATAAAATAAACAATTATTTTTTAGTTATTTAGAATGATGAGTTATATTTATATATAATATTTATTAATTTATTTATTTACTGTGTGTATATATATATATATATATATATATATATATTAGATGTTTCCTTCTATTGTTTTATAAAATTTAAAGCTATTATTTAAATATTTGTTTAATTAAAGAATAACCTTTACTTCATCGCATTCTTTTTGTTTGAATCCATTCGTTCGTTTGTTTACTCATTCACTCTTTTGGATTATCAGAAACTTATAAAAATCAAAGTGTGCATAAATATATATTATAAATAACAACCAAGATTATCAAATAAAAATTAAACATTTTTATTTTTTAAAAATCAAAAAGAATAAAATATTTTAGTTAGCATACATGCATACATATACAAGCACACATACGAATATTATTATTATTGTTCTTTTATAAGGTGTTCTTTAATCTTCTTTAGAACATTGTCATCCCTCGGCGTTATTAAAACTTGAGCTTTTTTAGAATTCAATTTCTTTTCTTTAAGATGTTGTTCTAGTAAGGCTCTACGTTGTGTTTCATCAAGCACTGGACATGGTAAAAAAGTTGGTGCGGCAACTGTGAATATTGCAAATAATGCCACTGTTGAAAACAATGTAAAAGTAACTTTAGATTTCTGTGCTGCTGTAAGCCTTTTGGTTGTATTCATGTTCATATTATTATTATTTATTAATTAATTTTTTTTTCGATTAAATAATCGTCCATTATTGGCTGTATCAATTTTCAAAAAAATGAATTGAACATAAATAAATAATTAAATTATTACTATTGCTATTACGACTATTATCGTTATTATTGTTGTTGTTGTTTTTGTTATCGTAGTTGTCGTAATCATAGTTGTCATTACCGTTGCATCTCTTCTTCCTGTATGGTATATCCGTATGGAAGCGGATCTGGAGGAAGAGAGGACGAATAGCAGGACGAGCAATGACAACATCATCTATGATAATGGGATTTTCCATATTACATATATATTAAAAAGTGTAATAAGGAATTAGTTGGAGATTGCAATTGCATTCAATCTTTTGGTTGGACTTTGTAAGAGTTTGCAATATTTATAGATTACACTTCTCTTCATGTTTTATTATTGTAGTTATGAGAGAGCAGATTGCCATTTATAAGATTTCCAAATAAATTTTTTCACGCAAATGTTATTGTTGCCGTTGTGTGTATGTGTGCATGTTCGTGTTATTATTATTATTGTTAGGATAGTTTTGACAGATAACTGCCATTTACAAGATTTGTTATATTGGTCTTTGGTCTTCTCGGTCTTCGGTTCCAAGTTTTGAAGCCGGTCTTTAACTGGTCTTATGTCAATGATTAATCTGGGGGTATCATCCTACTTCATGATAGACAAATTAAATATTAATATTAATGTTACTTTATAATCAATTCGTAAATAGAACATTTATGCAAATTTCTTTGAAAGATTTAACTTTCTCCTAATGTAATGGCATCAGATGTAATAATGGCACATTAAAAGCAGTAGTGGCAGTGGAAGTAGCAGTAGAACAAGAATGAGATGACAGTGACAGCGGTAGTCGTAACATAGGAATAAACTCTTGTGTATATTATATTTACACATTAAATTTTGTTCACTCATAAGTTGGATTTTAAAACCACCATTCAATTCAGTTTTAAAAAGGGAGTCAATCCATAAAAAAAAAATTGCCACAAATTTTTTTTTTCATGGATTTTTTAATTTGATAGTTATGCTCAGAACTGCTAATTTTCGCATTATGATCAAATTTGAGACAAGCAGAAAAGTAATACGGTTGTACTGCTTCCACGTGAACAGGGAAAAACAAACTTTTACTATCTACTATATATTATAAAATTAAAAATTTTATTATTATTTCTGCAATTATTATTATTAAAGTCCCGAAGCTCCAATTGTTCATCTAAATTTTGAAATAATTAAATTAAAAAAAAAGTATATCAAATAATTTATTAGTCTTGCACAAGGTTAATTAATGGCAGATAGAAATCAATTCATTTTATTAAAAAAAAACTTTATCATTGTAATAAAAATACCTGAATAATGTTTTTGTTACAAGTCAAGAATCCAAGATTTTAAAGATTCCTCTATATTATTATAACCATCCTCTAAGGTTTGTATTCACGGATACCGTAAGGATGTCACACAGGGTTACACACTATTAAAATCAAGTGTTTTTAAGGGATTTTTTGCTGATTTATTAGCGTGTAACCCCCTTAATGGTATTCATGGTATCCATGAATACAAACCCTATTTGTTTCATTCATTAATTTGGATACAGTTAATGTATCACATTTACGAGCTAATTTAGCAACTTTCATTCGAGGATTGTTTTTAAAAATAGTAATTGCAGTAATTAAATTGTGAATAGGGCTCCTAAAGAACTGGATATTTCTTTTAGATCTTGTATATTATTAATATTATTATTTAGTAAATTTTGATTGATTTTGCTACTACTACTGCTATTATCACCAATTGCAATATTATTATTATTATTATTCATTTTACTGCTTTCATTTCCAAGATTATTAATGATGGGTGGTAAAGGTTTATTTTTTTATTTACTGAAATACTTGGCATTTTTTTCTTTTGCCATTTTTGATTTTGCCATTTTTGATTTTTTTTATTTTCGTTTTTTATTATTTACTGAAATACTTGGTGTTGTTATTGTTGAATTGTTACCATCTCCCATCAGATCAAAACTATAAGGAATTTTTTCTGTTGAATTGTTACCAACTCCCATCAGATCAAAACTATAAGGAACTTTTTCTGTTGAATTGTTACCAACTCCCGTCAGATCAAAACTATAAGGAATTTTTTCTGTTGAATTGTTACCAACTCCCGTCAGATCAAAACTATAAGGAATTTTTTCTGTTGAATTGTTACCAACTCCCATCAGATCAAAACTATAAAGAATTTTTTCTGTTGACTTGTATGAATTATTATTAATGGCATTAATTCCCAGATCAAAACTATCATTAATTTTTTCTGTTGACTCGTATGAATTATTATTAATGGTATCAATTCCCAGATCAAAACTATAAGGAATTTTTTCTGTTGACTCATATGAATTATTATTAATGGTATCAATTCCCAGATCAAAACTATATGGCATTAAAGATTTTTCCGTATAAATTTTCTCATCAGTAGTGGATTTATCCGAGACCTGGTAAAGTGTGAAAAAGTCTTAGACTTGGATAATAATACATCAGCCACATAAACAAGCGTGTTTAACGAACCTTTTCAACTCTAAAAAAAAATAAAATATGTATATATTGTACATCAGAAAATTAAAAATACTGTAGATTTATACAAATTTACATAGTGATGATCGTAACCACCATTCTTTTAATAAACTAGAGTGATGGCGAGTGGCGGGCGATAACCACCACCACCATCCTTAAAACACTTACCTTTTCACTTATGCTGCATCTTTTTCTTGACTTCTTTTCTTTAGTTGCGTTTTTTTCATTTTGTTTTTTTAATAAAAAAAAATAAAAGTAGTTTGTGATTTGATCGACGCGCACACATTAATTATTTATCCTATTGGTTTTTTTGGTAGGACAGATGCGATTGTTTTTTTTTTTAATTTATTTTTTGACAGTCCAAGGTGACAAAACGTGAGTGTTGTTGTTTGGTTTGGTTTGGGTCTTCTAAAGAATATGTGTTAATAACTAACCAGAGGTACTTTTTTATTTGTATTGATATGTATGAGGTGTCTTATTTTAGCTTATAAATATTTTAATTGGAATCAAAACGCGGAGCAGATCTTGCTGGGTAATTACAAGATTTTCATTGATAATAATAATATTTTGCTTTGCATATTTGTAATAATAATACTATTATTAATATATAATTACATGATGTTAAGGCAATACACCGTTTAAAAAGAAACAATTCAAATATGCGATGTTTGATTAACGGAAATTGGCAGGCGTTGAAGCATGCACACTACCTTGAACACTTTACAGTCATTCTCTCATCTTCCTTGTGTGTACAAGGCTAATCTGACTTGCGCCCCCCGATGATACAATGATGCAGCTAAGGCTCCGCATGAGCCAGCTCGCAAGCCAATTAACTTAGTAAGCTCGCAAGTCGAATAAGTTTTTTGGCTCACGAGCCAATTAATTTAGTAAGCTCGCAAGTCGAATAAGTTTTTTGGCTCGCAAGCAGCTGAATTCCAGGGGGGGGTAGCTTGGCCCTGGAGTTCAACAAGACTGCATCAATCGTCAATGACACTTTTCACTAATCTTCCCAGACCAGAGAAGGCCGCTGGAATGCTGGCCGAAAAGTTGCTTGCAATGATCCTACTCTAGGGTAAGGGTGGCTCTGTGACCAAGTGTTGCAACTCTGCAGATGAATTGTAATATTAGGTGTGCATAAACATTGTTTCAAGCACCAGGAGGTTACAATTCAGAGCAGGGTTTGTGGCCCTGAAATTGCATTTTGAGTCTGATGTTAAGAGGAAAATTGTAAAATAGTGTCTGTTTTGTATAATCATTTTCATAAATTCTCTGTTTCTCTGATACTAACCAATTTATAATTTTTGCCCAATCAATCCCCTGTCCTGTAGATTAAAATTACCACATGATTATTATACATCTTTGTCAGCAATGTGCCAACAAGAAAAAAGTCATAAAATGATTTGGATTTTGGTATGCTATAAATTAATTATTCCCAAATTCTCTGTTTCTCTTTAATTTTTATTTGTCAACTGACCTTGTTATTTAAATGGGGGTAGGATTGTTGGTGAATAGGCATGCCACTGACAAGACGGAGACACCTTTGAGACATACCAGCCAAACTCATAGAAAGGGATCTTTTGTCCAGACTTAGGGTCACATGGATGTTAAGCACAGAAAATGTACA